TTCTTCTTCTTTTTTTTTTTTTTTTTTTTTTTTGGTTTGCTTTTTTACTGAAAACAATTCCTGATCCTATGTTGGTTGTCAGAGCAGGAGTCCATGCATTTCACATGTTTGTTATTGTCGCACAGAGCATACATATTTGCATAATATTTATTTACATTTAAACCAAAACAATCTTGTTTTACCAAACAATGTCGACAAAATGTGTTTTCTAACTTCTGAAAAACAAACAAAAAAGAAAGAAATAGCACAATTAGCCGTAAACAGTGTCAGTGGATTCATGAATGTTTTCCGCTTGTTTGCTATTTTCTGCACAGTGGAATGGCTTTTGGAATGACATCTCAAGATGTTGAAGTAATCCCCAAATCACGAGCTCATCAAGTCAAATGTGTGCTTGTATTGGAATTCAACAGATATTGGAATGGAATTGCTGTTGTTTGCCATTTCAGAAAAAAATAAATGTTTTTTTTTTTTTTATCACAATTTCATGAGCTGTAGATTAACTTAACAGCTAATGACAAGTGATTTTCAGGTCTGGAAATAAAACAAAATAAACAACAGAAAAAGCCAATAAGAGCCTGAAATCTCAAATTATTAAAGAGAGATTGATGTAAAATGTAGTGGGTGGCTTAAGCGACACCATTATGAACTCACAGCTACAAGGGGAAGAAGGATGTTCTTCAGTCTGGATGGAGAAAGAAGGTGAGTGGTTCAAGACAAATAGGGGAATGTTGTTGAACATTATAATTTTTGCACTGGTTTCTGCATGCTAGTGTAAATGTCCTTTAGAAAAGGCAGATTGCTGATGGTCAGTATTTCACATTTCTCCAATCTTTGCAGCCATGTAACGAAACCAGTGAAATGAAGTAAGAATAGGAAAACCTTCAAGTGTTAGTTGCTTCATAAATTTTTTGTTGGGCATATTTAATGTAGTTGAATATTTATGGCTCATGAAAGGTAGGGCATATTCTACACACACTTGATGGGTATTATTTAGTGTTTCAAAATAGAAGGATGCTATACAAATGATAAGCTAGTTTATTTCAGTTAGTTCATCATTCATACACAAGACAATCCAAAGAGCTTCACATGAAATTAGAAGAGGAATATTTAAATCACATAACCTGTTTGCAAAAAAGGAGACGTCAGGCCAGTTCTTGAACTAGAGAAAAGAACAGAAAATTAAAAAGAAAGAAAAGCAGGAAAAACAATTATACAAATTAAGCAGTGCTGCAAATGCATAAATTAATTAATTAATTAATGGTGCTATAGAATAAAAATAGGCTAAAGATAAAGATTGGAATTTTTTGCTTTTTTTAAATATTTGCAGTGAAAAATTAAAACCTTTTCTTTGAAAGAATTGTTCAGATGGAAAAAAAAAAAACATGATACCATAAGGTAATATCATTCTACATTAGACAATTTAAATGGCAGATGTACCGTGGCATGTCTGCTATTTAAATTGCCATTATTTGTGTTGTGTTGGTAATAAGTCAGACTATCATTATCTTAACCGTTATTAAATAGTGAAGATCCAGAAAAAAACAAATAAACAAACAAAAAAAAAAGATATTGAGTTTTTCATAAAAATTATAATAAATTCTTACTCACTGAATAATTTCTTCTCTATTTGGTCAATTAGACAGTTTGTTTAAACAGACGAGTTCATTCAATAGCTTTTATTTTTTTTAAAAGAATTTAGGACCCAAGGGGCCAACATAAGAAGACTCGGTTTGCCTGTTCTTTAATGAGTCCTTAAATTCATGATTTATTTCTCAATAAAATATAGTTAATCACGTCCCACTCCATAACCCTAAGCGTTATTTTGCTCTTCATTAGTTTTTAAACATTCATTAACCATCATAAAGTTTTGTCTTAATCAAAGTGTGTTGCTTTATCGTCAGGCATCTGTATGGACTGCTCTCCGCATCTGAGGACGACAACATGGCGGTCTCCTTGCGCCTGGGTCGACAGGGAGTTTTATTTGGTTTCAGGTTGTCTCAGTTCAACAAATGTTCGTGGCCCAGACAGCCGTGTCAGGACCGTGTGAGACATTTCTTTCAGTCGCCATGGGTGCTCGGTGAGTGTTGAGGAGTAAACCTATGCTTAACCATTGTCCTTTCTGAGGTGACATTTGCTACTAGCGTCATTTGGTGGTCTCAGTTGTCAGCTGTGTTTGGGATGATTTTGTAATAATATGGTCAGGTGTCATGTTATCACCAATTTTGTGAACATGGTAGTGGTGTTTGACTACTAGCTGTCGTGGCATACATTTAAGACGGCGAGCTATCATCTCTTTAGCTTAGCTTTTAGCATGTCACCTGATGTTTTTCGTTGAAATATGTTAGACTTCTGAGTTTCTTGTCATACTACATGTCTTTTGGGTTTCATATTTGACAAAGCTTTTTGTGTTTTCACTTTTTAATGTCATTTCACTTAAATGTTTTGTGTTACTTATTGCCACTAGTTAGGAATACTTTATTATTTAACGTCTTTGAGCGTCCAGTTTTTTTAATTTCTCATGCGGCTTTAATATTCTTGTTATTTTGAGACCAACATGCTTTTTAATGCATTATGTGCAATGCATTTAGGCTATTATGTGCCATGATTTACCAGCATTTGAGAATAGTAGGACATTGTCGTGATCAATTACTATTTCTCCGGATATTTGTATTTGTGCTGTATTAAACGTCTTGCGCGGATGACGCTTGCTGCAAACCAGTTTCCACTAGGGATATCAGTAAAAATTGAACTGAACTGAACCTAACAGTTAAACTGTTTTGTTGAAAATAATACTGTTATTATAGAGAAATCATGAATACAAAAACGCAATAGAAAGATGTTCTCCCACATGGTCATAGTTTGAATAGTGGTTGCAATTCTGTACAATAAAAAGAAAAGAAAATGCATACGTCTTAATTATTTAAAATCACAATCTTTGTTTTGGGAATACATTTCATTTAGTTTTCCTAATAAATGTAAATGCACATTAGGGAAGTATTGGTTGCCTGAAGCCATGTAAAACAAACAAACAAAAAGTCCAGGACATCAACCCACAAGAACAATACATTTTCCTAAAGTGACATGAGTCTGAAAGATTCATTTTTACCTTTTTTTTTAATTATTATTATTAAGTTGAAACCAAAATGAATGTACTCTTTCAATTGTTTGTTTATGACAGTCACAAAGAAAAGCTGTATTTCATAAAGCCTGAATGTTAATACTCTCCTGCTGTGTAATAAATAATCTGGTGATGCAATTATTAAAATTCAATTGAGGAAAAAAAGAAAAAAAAAAAACTTTATATGTTGCACCATTGCTATCCAGCAGATGGCATTGGTTATCTGCATTTTGGTGAACTGCTTCCTTTAATGGGGGATATTGGGTAAAATCCACTTATTTGAGCATTGTTGCACTCTTATAATGTTATTCCCTCATCAAAGACATACGTAGTGTTGCTTTGATTCTTTCATGTATGTTTGAGAAATACTGAAATCTACACAGGCAGCCATTTGGGAGTGCCTAAACACTTTCTCAAATTTCTTCTAAGTCACATTTGCTCTATGTGCAGCATTTTTATGGCAACTGAAGGTAATATAGTCACTTGGTGGTGCTATACGATGAGCCTGGAAGATGCATAATGCTGCCCCTTTAGTGATCGCTGGTATTTAATTATTTTTAGCTAAGCAATTTCTGCAAGTTATTTTTCTACCTTTTTGTAGAAGTTGCTAAACTGGAGAGACCTGTTCGAAAGATACACCTGTGTACCTCTGAGCTTATAGCTCCCATAATTCAAACATCTATTATTTTCAAGTGTATTTTTGAAATGTCTAGCTGAGGTTAATTCAGGTCCAAAGTGGAAAACAAACATAAAAGTAGAGACAAGGAAGACAAGTTGTTAAAATGAGAAGGATCTCTCCATCACACTGCTGAGAGCCAGATGAGCTCTGGCCATATGTCTCAATGTTGTCTCGGACATTGATCTAAAAGAGGATGAAAGAGGAAGAAAACCTCTTTTATTTTTTATACAGTTGGTGCCAGGGCCATTGTTAGACATTGATCTGCTGCTACTGCTCATCTTTCACAGTTGTCCTGTCACTTGTCCTCTGCTTTGCAGCTGGTGATGTTGCGTTGACCTACTCAGCTTTGGTCGCAGCCCAGACATTCTGCCTTTAGGCTGTTTACTCCTGTTTACTCAATTTAGTGTGACATCTGTGTTGCTTTTTTTCATTGCTAGTGTCTTTGTAAAAACTGTTTTCTTCTTTCTCTCCTCTAGGTGTCAGTCCACTCAAAGTGCAAATGCCAGCCCTTTCGCCCACCATGGAAGAGGGAAACATAGTCAAATGGTTGAAGAAAGAAGGTAAAGGGACACATGTTTACATTGTTCTTTCGTCTTATGTTAGTGAAAATAAAAAATTATATTAATTTGCTAAAAAATGTTATTGTAATTTCTTTATTTTGCTGCAGACCTTTTAAAATTTAGCATTAGCTCGTAGTTGTTGTTTTTTAACAAAGGCCCAGCTTTTCTACTTCTCATAATTAAAGATCATACACAGGGCTAGTCAATGATTAATTTAATACAAGTTTAAGCAGTGGAGCAGTTCCTTAATTGGTTCAAAGAGTCAGAGGACTCGCTGCTTAGCAACCCATATCTTGGCCAGGTGCTGTAGCCATGCTTTTGCTCATCTGGGGACAGCATACTGTGCTCTGATTGGCTGCTCTGCTTTGTTGCCATCTATTTTTTGGCACAGGGCTAATGTTAAAGCAAAATAAAGAAGAGGAAAGCAGTATGTTACTTACTGACATCCATTATCATATTGGGTGTCAGTAAAGTGTTTTGATGTATTTCAAAGAGTAATTGTTTTGGATGACAGAGATGCTTACTTCAATTCCAAATTGAAAAAAACAACAAAAAACTTTTAGTTTGTTATTTTTTTACATGTAATATGTTAGCTCATTTCTGAACTGCTTTTTATTTTGTCCAGAAATATACTGACTTTCTTTTTTATTTCCAGTGTTTTCTGGTGGAATAGAGGTTTTAAAGCTCCAAGCTTCTTGTTGAATCTTTAATACTGCACATCACATCAAACCCAAGGGGTCGTAGGTTGTTAATGCCTCATACAAATCCAATCATTGCTCAGTGTTGGGGGGCCTTTAAACTCAATACTCCTTGGATGTTTCAGCCCTCCTCCTTATATTTCCATTCATTCTTTATTTCACACATTGAGAACTCAGGTAATGGCCTGAGGTGACAGATTTTTTTCCCTTGTCACCACCCAGCTGCAAATTCTTTAACTTTCTTTAAAGTTAGGCAGACATCTCATTTCAGACCTCCTGTATCTCCCAGTCTATTTGCATAACATATTTCAAATTCAAAGTACTGTATAGTTTCCTGTTTTTGCCTTTATTGGAATGATATTTCTCTCTTTTAGCTTTACGTGTGTTCAGGGTTTAAGCAAAGCTCTTGTCAAGAGTAATTGAAAATGCCACCAATGATTACTATTCATGTATTCCAGTCACAGCACAAGTGATTCATCTGCACTTGAGCTTAGTTCACAACTGTTTAATAATGAAAATGTTTGATAATTGGCTGAGTGAATGCAAATGCATATTAATGTGTCTTTTGAAAGATCTCAGATGTGGTTCATTTTTTTTAACAGGTGAAGCCGTGGAAGCAGGCGATGCCCTTTGCGAAATAGAGACCGACAAGGCGGTGGTTACTATGGAATCAAATGATGATGGGGTTTTGGCAAAAATATTGGTAAGAAAAAGAGAGCCAAAAAACCCTTGATGATTCGACACGAATTTAACATCATGAGGACTGAGATTAGTTTTGTCATGTAACTTTGGTTTTGAGTTTATTCATATCCACACAAGATGTAATGCTGTTTAATCCTTTCCTTGTTTTATTCCTTTCCCTAATTGGGAATGCTAATTGACTGCAGTTGTTTAATCTGCTTTTCCTAAACAGAGATGGCAAAAGCATTGACATACTGAATTCACTGACAAATGTTTCCCGCCATCCCCCCAGTTTGTTTTTTTGTTGTTAGAATTTTTAGTAAGCTGCCAGAGATGGAGCAATCAGATGCCATTCAGTGGGACTCCGCCACTTGTTTGTCAGTCTGGAGAGAAAAATTACTTATTTTTTCCCCTCTTCTGTCAGTTTCCTGCATGTGTAGATGAAAACATCATGGATCTTTGTCATTGTTTAATCTGAATCTTTTTTTCTGTCCATGTAATCTTGGATTCCTGGGCATGGTGTGTTAAATGAATATTTTTTAGTTGAATCTTTTAAAGTCTGTTTTCAGAACAAATGCACATCAAAAATATTCCCATTAGTTCTGTTTTATTTTATATGTAACTTTACATGGTGATTTATTTATTTATTTATTTTTTATGCCATTCATGTCACTGGTTTCCATTCCTCTTCATGTCTTAGCCACAGTGGGGCTAAGATAGTTTCCATAGCAACCACCCAAGAATTGGGGGGTAGGGACTTTGGCTGGCAAAGAAAGATGGTCTGCTTTAGATGAGCTCCAAGCTCTCTTTTACTTGCTGTGTGACAGTGTGTCTGTGTGTGATATTAATGGTAATAACTGCAGATCTGGACAGCATTTGGCATATTTTTGAATCTTTGCAGGGTTTTGCATTTTGGATTAGAGCATATTAGCCAGTAGCGGCGTCGATGTGGCTCACTAAGCACCCAGTAGGTTTCTAATTTAAAGGCAAGCATAATTACTTGCCTGTGGCCAAATTTCTTGACAGGGTGCTGTAGACAGATAAATTGGACTCAGAAAGGATTTTTTTTTTTTTTTAATGAAGGTTAAGCAGTGTTATCACTGGCTATTAACATGTAAGGACAATTTCACAGTTTAACACAGCCCACCCAGAAAACAGGTAACAGTGAAATAATGTGTGCTAATGACTATATTGAAACAATACAAGCAGATCAGTGACTGTCTTGAGAAAATGTCTTGAATCTGACAGTCGGCCCCTGAAGTTAAGAGTTAATGACTTAAAGACGTGACACAAGTTTGAACAATTATACCTAAATGTGCACATTAGTCATGATATGAAGAAAAATTAAGTGGAATTAATTAAATACATCTAATACATAGTATTCTTTTGTCACTGGATGGAGTTATTAAACTCTTGTTCAAATAGTATTAGAATAATTGTGGTTATTTTTATCTTATTTTTTTTTTACATAATCAGGCATCCCAAATGTGAAGTTTCACATTAACATTTATTCAGACATATAATTTAATAAAGATTTAAGCTATCAGGTAGAGGTTGTTTTGTGTGATTTTGACATTTCAAGTGCAATAAATTACACTGAAATTGGGAAGTGTCACCACTAAAAAGAAGGGAGCCACAGTCCTGTTTCTGTCATGCTCTATTGATCGGAGCTAGACATCGTCTCACTTGCTAAACACAGTCCCTCATGATTTGCTAGCATTCATATACACGTCTAGTTGAAAGCTGAAAAACTGTTCAAAGGCTTAAGAGTTTTTTTGGTGAACCTTCCCTTATTTTTTATTTTGCTTAACCTTATAGAACCTCCTAATTGCACCTGTATTAGCTGGCAAACGTGACGCATTCATTTGGGAAATGGGAGATTTTACAGGTGTTACTGTAGCAAGTTAAATGAACAATCTGTTGAAATTAAACCTGCTTTTACCCAGCTGTTATAGGTTCGTGTGAACTTGTGTTTTGCTACCACAATAATTGGGTGCATTAATGTTGTTAAACATAATTATTGGTCTATTAAAAGTTTTTAATTACATCATCTTTTCCCCAAGAGCTTTATGGAGCTCTGCAGAGCCCTGACTTTGATTTAGGAGAAATGTACACATTTGCATGATATTTGCAGCCATTTGATGGCAGTGTTGAGTCCCACAATGCTGCAGTGTAGATTCCTTTAATGAGGAAAATACATAAACAGATATTGATGACCGAAAAAAAAAAATATTTAACAGAAATTGACAAATTGAAACAGTTTTTTAGCTTGTCAAAATTACATGCTGGAATAATGATTGAACACTTCTAAATATACGCCCTATGTGCCCCCATTTTTTAACCAATCAGCTCCGTTAATTGCAATATATTGATTTGTAATTGTTCAGTATGCAGTTATTAACAAAACACAGTGGTTGTTGGTTGCACAAAGATATTTACATGGGTATCTGATGAGACATTGCACACAGAAGTGATATTTTTCTTGAACAGCTATTGTGGGAGATGTATTTCTTTGATTGATCTCTATGGAAATGTACAGATTGCTGTGTTTCCCAAAGAGACCCTCATGGTTACCCTCATCTATCACCCCCTGCTTCTCGAGGCAGGTGCTGCCGGGATGCTAAACTTGGAAAAACCAGACAGATTACACCCTTGCAAATACAAATATGCACACGGGGAAGAAAAGGCAGGTGGGGGTGGAATAACACTTACTATTTATGTGAGACAGATGTAAGAAATTGGAGTTAAAAATACACAAGTTAAATATTTACAAAGTTGATCTTTTCGTCATTTTTTTAAGTTGCATCATTAAACCCTATTTTGATCATTTACTCGTTTACACCAGGTACACAAAGCTTTAACCTTGGGATTACACTACTACAGTGGATCTGATTGACTGTAATAACAAAACAAAACAGTGTACATAGGTGAAGAATACTATTGTGTTATTAAAACGGCTAACGCAACTTGACTTCCATGGAAAACAAACTTGTTTCAACCTTAAGAATTATGAAGCAATTTGTTGAGTAAGTAATTTCCACATTTTTAAGTACCACCACCTCATCTAATCTTCAATGTATTAAAAAGAGTCATCATATTGTGAATAAATCCTTACCCTCTTAGAAATTTAACGTTTCTAAAGTTGAAATACTGCATTTTCTGTCCAAAACTATCAGACAGAAGGTAAAAGAAGCATAAGGTCCAGGCAGGTTTGATTCCTAAATAGTACAAATCCTGGACAACTCTTATAAGCCCCCAACACCCCTTTTACTTAGCAAGCCCAGCCTCCCTCTGAATCTATGTTAATTCACTATTATTTATTTGTGGATTTATTTTTCTGTTTTTTTTTGTTTGTTTGTTTGTTTGTTTTTTGGGGGGGTGGGGGGGGGGGTGCTTTGTGTATTGTCTGTTTTGAGAACCTCGAACTAAATTTGAGATATATATGACATTGGGAATAAATTACTTGACTAAAGTGTTGGTGAAATTGTTGTTGTTTTTGAAAATGAATGTGTAAAACAACAGTGCTTTGTGTGACTCAGACATCCAGGTTTATATAAATGATGCTGCTGGACAGCCGTGTCGCTTAGGCATAATCGTGCAACTCAGGTGTTCTCGTTCTGATGTTACTTCCAGTTTGGTGGTTTGGTCATTGGAGTTATGCTTTTGAATTCACAAGCTCATTTGAATAATACTCTGTCGGTTTTATGGCTTCCTCAGTCACCTTTTATTGTTTTTGTATGTTTTGTTTTTATTTTGTTGTTGCTAAATTCAAATTACAGTCTTTCTTTTTCTTTGATAAAACGGTATTCCTTTTTGTTTCTTTTCCTGTCCCTTTTTTGTTTGTATCCACATCTTGACAAGCAGCTCACTGAGGGAGTATCTTCTAAATAGTGATAAAGTGCAACCTGCCAAATGTTCTGTTGTGCTGAACCTTAAATTAAATGGATCAATATTTGAGAAACGGCGCCCTGTGTAGCTTGGGGAGACCAACAGAAGGCTTGTATTTGATTTGGGTTACTGTGTAACAAGATAATCAATGGCTAACGGCATAGAGGAGCATAGCAATACTCACAGGCACTGCAGTGCAGTCATGGTTTTTTTACTAGAATTATGCAGTAAAGTTATAAAAGTAGTGCAGGTAATGAGAAAGGTTCCTCATAATTGTCACTCAAACATTTTAATTAGTGAGAATGGGTAGTAACTGACTTCAGAGCTCAGATTTAACTTCCCATAATTCAGTTTTTATTATTTTTCACACATTTGTACAAGAGTCCTTAACCGTTCTTCTACTCTTCATGGATTTAGTTGTAAAATGATTGAATCTGATGATTCTGTGTAATTGTCTAAATGCCTGCCTCGCCCTCTTTGCAGATGGAAGAGGGCAGTCGCAACGTGCGCCTTGGTACTCTCATTGCCCTCATGGTGGAAGAAGGGCAGGACTGGAAGCAGGTTGAGATCCCCCCTCCAGATGCTGCATCACCAGCTGCAACTCCATCTGCTTCAGATGCAGGCGCTGCCTCGACGTTGACCCCCGCTCCTCCATCTCCGAGCCCTCTGCCAAAACCAGTCACATCTGGGCCGTGAGTGTCATTTTTTTTGTCTTTTGATCTGTTCAGATTAAACCTATCCAGTGTTGCGTTTAGGGATTTTTGTAATATTAGGATCAGAATTATTTGAAGTCTAACATTTATTTAGTAGTTAACTGTTGTCAGAATTATCAAAGGCTCAGTTAAAATTAGTAAGGAATAGTTTCCTGCATGTTGGGGTCATAACCTCTGGGCAGTAGCGGTTGTGATATAATTTTAGAACATACTCTTGAAGCAGAACTTCCATTTCAGGTCACAGACCAGATTTGGTTTGTCGTCAAATGTGCGTCTGTTTACACAGTGAAGATCTTTTTTATTGTGAAATGACTTGTACATAACAAACTCTGTCATACTAACAGTTTTGTAGATAACGCCGTCTACTCAGTGAGCCAAGCGAACTCCGCGCACATTTTCCATACACAGTTGGGATTTCATAGTCAAGTGTAATAATTGCCTACATTTCTTGTGACAAATTGCTATATTTCCCATAATCCTAATGGATGCTAGCAAGTTTGATGAGCTACTTGGACACCTAGCCTCATTTTTTTTTCCTCCATCAGGCCAGCCTCCATACACCTGTGGCAGTCCTCTTGACTGGGTTCATTAACTCTCAACCTCATCAGTTCAGTGTCACATGGAAATAAGTTGGATGTAAACACTGTTGTCCATCGAGCAGATTACTTTGCGACACTGAGTGTGCAGAAATTGATCTTTCCTCAGACATGTCTGACAGACGTCCACCTTGAGTCTGTGTTGAGTCCGCCTCGAGTGCACTTGGACGTATGCGGAGCGAATTACGCCCGAGTGTGCTGGAGCCTTAAGACAGGCATGATTCAAAAAAGATTTCAATATGGGGAAATAAAAAAAAAAGCTAGCTTAAAGCTGACTGGGTAATTTTTTACCTCACTCATGCTGACAAGAGTGGAAACTAAAACTTAAGATACCATGTGGGCTGCTTAGAAGGTCCTTTTCCATCTTTTCAGAGTCGGTGTTTTTTTGTTTGTTTTTTTTTCTTCATTTATGTTTATCCTAAATTCACATTGAACTGAACGACATTTGTTTCCTTTTTTTTAGTTGCACTTTACCAATAATGTCTCTAAATATCTCTGAAGGCAGGTTATCTAAAGTTTAAAAGCTTAGTTTTGAACTCTTTTCTACATGTTTTTAACGCCTTTCTCAACACATTCTTCCAAACACAGGTTACGGTTGAGTCCAGCAGCAAGACACATTTTGGACACCCATGGTATTGACCCAAAGTTGGCCACCCCTACAGGGCCACGCGGACTGATCACTAAAGAGTGAGTGATTGGATGGTTTTACATTAAGATCTGCTACAAGTTTTGTTCTGTTTCACTCAATAAAATCTGAAATGGCTGATATACAAAGGGTTGAATGCAGACTTAGACAGATAGGTGCTTTATTTAGAAAGTCAGAAGGCAGGAAACGGCCACAGGACCAAACTCAAAGGGCCAGAACTAGCAGAGTAAAGATGTCCGAGCCTCTGCATGCTGCAATACTGTGAGAGGTTTTTGTTCTTGCTTAGTCTTTCCCACCACAGTTCAGTGATGTTGGGGTATCAGTAAAGATCCTGTAAACAACAATGACATTTGTAAAGAATAAGGTGGCTGAGACCTTTAAGTGTTTTAGCTCGGTTCTGGATTGAATTGACTAAGGAGAAAGCTATGTACACACACATGCACACACTCACAAATGGCTACCTGCCGTCACTTGAGACCTAACTGAATGCTCTTGCTGCTCTCCAAACAGCCTGCTGGGGAATCTCATTACGGAACTTCTGTTGCCATAGCGACCCAGTCTCTAAGCTCCGTGGTGACCATGGAAACATGGACAATATGTTCTTAGGTGTACAGAGGAAAATAACTAGCACATTATTTTGAAATGAGCATTTTACAGTTAGTTCTTGAGAACTAACATGTTTTGGTCTTGTTGTGTACCTCACTATGTAAAATACCTGCTCACTTATTGTACAGGAGTTTATTTGGTGGCTGACTAAATAAACCACCAAAAACTTGTAATTGTAGGTAATATATTACTTGCAATTTAAAAAAAAGAAAATATTTATTTTCTTTATCCTTTTCTAGACAATTAATTGAAAAGTTTTGATGGCTTTATAGCAGAAATAGACCTCAGATAATTAGTCGTCTATCCAGGTACTCCAGGGATTCAATCATTATTTCACAGCAAGGTTTTATTGAGAAACTTGTTTCCAGCTGATGCCCTCATCAAAACAACCTGCTTATACTTAAATGACTTCATCATCTTACCAAGATCTTTGCCTTCTCAAACATGTGTGTGCTGCATTTAACAACTAGTGTCACCAAATCTTTTACAGGCATAGAGACATGGTGCTTAAATAATGGCATGATGCTTATTATAGACTAGGCAATTTGTTGCAGTATCCAAATTGTGTACAGTGACATGGCGATATTGAAAACATTATCATATTTGCAACCCTGCTCAAGGCCAAAGTTAAGGGGATTCCCTTTAAAAACAAAATGAATAAAATGAGGTTAAGAATTGTGTGTTCCTTAATTTGAACTTGTCAAGCAAATAATAGAAAGTGGTTTGGTTGTTCTTGTTTTTTATGGTAAACCACACGGATGGTTCGTTGGCTAAAGCAAAACCTACATGCTACTGTTTTAGTCACAAATTAAAACACAAAATGTCATTCCTACATGACGCATAAAGGCAAATGAAAGTAGTTATTTAAATTAAACGACAGGCACTGCGCTGGATAAAATAAGATAAATCCAAACTTTTTCCCTTTCCATCGGTTTCGTCGTTTTCTTCTATATAAGCTTACTCTGTGGGGGCGTTAGAAGACAGTATATTTCGACACACTTCTTTCTTTTGAGAATTTTTGCATTTGAGAGGTCCTTTGTTTCCTTTTTAATATTCAAGTCACCTTCTCCTCCTCTTTCAGAAGTTCTTTTGCCTCGGCTGTCGGTAGAGGTTCCACTGAACCGTCTGCACAAAACAGATCAGCGGTGCTATTATTAAGCTGCACTGAATTTCTTAAAGAACATTTCTGGAATTTATTTGTTTTGTTATAGCTGATGAAATAACTGGATTGCAATCAATGTGGCTTGGGGATTTCTAATTTGCCTCCACAAACAAATCTGTAACAGAAAGAGAGGAGCTGGGAGCAATTATAAAAAGCAGTTGACAGAATGATGAGAAAAAGTGAGATTTGAGCCCCAGGCCGTCCCAGCAGCATGGTAAAGCCAGGAGCAGCTGGTCCAAACAAAAGGCTGCCTACATGTGGGTAGGTGGACCACAGGGCAGTGAACTGGAACCGGAGATCTCAAAACACACCTGATACTTGTCCTATCCAGTGCTTCTGCAATTCAGACCAAAACAAGTGAATTAAAGAATAGCTTTAAGGCAGATTTGCTCGCATGGAATAATTGCTGTCTTTGTAAGTTCTGCCTCTGTCTCCTCTCTGTGCTCTGTAGCGTTTTTAAAAGCTCAGCTTTTTTTGTTGTTTTTTTTTTTTTTTCCACTGGTTACAGTTCGAGTGAAATGTAGTCATTTCACTCGAACTGTAACCATTTCTAATTAAATAGCCATTCATTTCTAATAAAATGGTTACAGTAAAGAAAATCAGTGTTTTTCATTTTAGTTGAATAATGATATTAAAAAAAAATTCAGTTTAAACTTAAAATTAAGACTCGAGTCAGCTGGAAAATCTCTTGACCAAAGACTTTTAACTTGGGTGTTAAAAATAATTAGTCTACTGTGGCATGTTATTAGTTGAGTTAGGAAGTCTTTGACGTTAAGAAGGATAATGAAATGAAAGTATTGAATGAGGTAGTTCCTTTGGGCGGCTGACACTTGATTCTACCACACCTTTTAATTGTGATTGCAAACAGTACATGATTCTCATGACGCCCTTCCACTCACAAACGACCTGAGGTTACCTTTTTGTAAACCTGACACAAACAAAAACAGATGCAACAAACAGTTTATTCTACGCCAGGTGGATGGTGCAAGATAAAGATCTGAGGATATGAAATAAATCTTTTTGAAACTGAAACAAAAAGAAAAACATTTGTGAAAATGAATGCATTTAAGTTATTCCTCAAGTAAAGTTTAGCTTCCATTATGAAATTTGGTATCCAAGTGCATGACATAGTGTAGTTTTTATGAGAGATTTGTTTCTTTATGCTTTTATAACCAACTTGAACTGAAAGTCATGTGTGGAACAGCATAGTTCCACATTAGGCGAAACACAAGAAATTGAACAAATTTAGAGTTGATTATTTTTTTTATTTTTTTTTTTATTGTGCAGGTTAAGATGTTTTTTAGATTATCAGTTTAACTTGTTTTACATCTTTTTATGTATGCTTGTTTATTTTCATTGTTTTCTGTTTCCAAGAGATGCACTGAACCTTTTAAAGAAGTCCCCGACCCCAAGAACTGCACCAGGTACCATGACGACAGCAGCTCCGAGTCCTGCCCCCACCCCAGCAGCTCCCCCTCCACCTCCAGGCAGCAGACCCAACATCCCTCCAGTGTCTGTACCTGGAAAACCAGGAGCACCGGTGAGCACTTTTTTTTTTTTTCCCCTGACCAAATTTTCTAATCAGATGTAAAAATCCTTTGAATTGGTTAAATATTCATGTATGCAAGTTTTTATTTTTGTTTTCAGGAATTATTTCCATACACCTCAAACTTTAGCCTTTAAATATATTTGTCTGCTCATTCATTTGTTCAAACGATTCATTCCACTTGTCATCTTCAGGGAAGTTTCACTGAGATCCCTGCCTCGAATATTCGCCGAGTGATTGCTCAGAGACTGACCGAGTCCAAGACTACAATCCCACATGCATATGCTTCCATAGACTGTGACATGGCTGCTGTCATGAAACTCCGCAAAGACCTCGCCAAAGGTACAAACCCTCAGCTTAAAGTGAGCGTGTGTGCATCCATCCACCCATTTTCTTACACCCTTGTCCCTGGTGGGATTGGGAGGGGTGCTGGTGTCTAACTCTAGCGAGACATTTCGGGCGAGAGGCGGGGTACATCCATCGCAGGGCAACACACAGACAGACAGACAGGACAAACAACCATGCACACACACATCCATACCAAAGGAGCATTTCGAGAAACCAGTTGACCTAACGGTCATGTTTTTGGACTGTGAGAGAACCCACACATGCACAGAGAGAACATGAGACATGTTCTATTTTCCATAGACACACGTTTCTGTCCCTGAGGTGAACGTCTCGGTAAATTCTTACGGGTTCCGTTTGCTTGAAGATGAGCATGTCAAGGTTTTCACATGACTGCTTTTTCATGCATTTATACATCCGGAAACGTTATGTTCATCTGGCTCCAAAACATCACACTTCTCTAGCTCAGAGAAACCGTTCTTGTTCGTAAAACTAACTTTTGTATTCTGTGCAGTGATCTCTGTAACTGACATTAACCCCCCCCCCCCCCTTGTTCAGATGGCCGTTGGTTGCTAAGTAGTCCTGAAAACAAGTGACAAAAGACTGAGGCATTCTGGATCTGAACAGGAACTAGCAAGTTCCTCTTTACGTCCTGTAAATTACTTCTCAAACTGGTTTTTAAAGTGGTCACTGTGACATTGGGAATTATGAGTTAGGTGATGAAGCAAATGTGCATGACTATGAAGTTTTTAAATGGTTTAATCAGGACTCCAAGCTGTTGCTTGAGGCTGGATCAGGACATTTTCATCAGTGTATTTTTCTGTGCAATAAAAAACAGTTAATAGCTCTGACAGCCACTAAACAAGAAAATGAATGTGCATGGGTATAAAGTCTAGAAAAAAAGCAACATCAGCTCAATGTTTTATTAACACTACAAGGAGTTTGTCTGTCCCAGTTTGAAGGCTTAATCATATACTTCTCATATTTTGGCACACAAGTATTTTACTTCCTCAGGCCTACATCCACTCTTGACAACAGTTATTTCACAAACTGTTCCTTCTTGTGCAACAGACACCAGATTGTGGATGTTTCAAACATCCGCAAGGCTGCTAAGGAAGGTCAACTCCAGGTCAAAATAACCTGGAACTTTTTTCATGTATCAAACCTTCAACGAATCATTCATTACCTACTTTGACCGAATTGACCTTTCTCGTTGAAATGATAAAAGTTTTTTTTTGTTTTTTTTTTTGACAGGGTGCGGGGGACTGTGGGTTGCACCTATCACGTAATTGGCTTCATTTAGCTTAACTTTGCCTTAGTGTCAAACAAACACCACGTTTCTATGGGTGCTGTGTGTATGGTGGGGGAAATGAGACGCCCATTCCAGACCTATTAGCAAGGCTGTGTGTGTACTGAGGGATTCTCTGGCCCCGGTTGTTTTTGTGGCCCCTTATTGTTCAGGAGCAGCGTGATTTCACGGTTAGCTCATTAATCATCCCGCTCACAGCATTCATAACCGTCTGGGGCTGCACTTTTGGACACTAGTTAGAGTTGGCAGGCAGTTGCCAGTCCAAACCCGTCTGTCTCACTGATGTCTAACACAGAGAAATGGAGCGAGTTCTGTTGACTCAACCTTACAGAGAAATGTTGGCTCTAATACTTTTGAAGTCTCATCTGTAACACCCATATTTTTCTCCCCCCTTAACGCTCTCTTGTGATTGATAAGGGCGGTTGGAATTAGCGGATCTTATTCCGTTCTTGTTTATTCAGAAACATACTGAAGGTTACAAACTCCTTTAATGTGTTATGATAATTAGTGTCCTCCTCCATTTTCTTTTGCCATCAGTTCATTTTGTTACTTCTCACACCCCTCCAACACTGACATTTTTTCTTGGTAAGTGAAGTGAATTGTTTACAGGTTGCTTCCTCTTTGTATTTTCAGATCAAATCAAAGTGTCCGTCAATGATTTTATTATCAAGGCAGCTGCTGTTACACTTAGAGTGAGTATTCCACTTCTTTCCAGTTATTGCTTCATTTGCACCTGTTTAAATGTTTATTTATGTGTTCAATTCTTTTGTTCATTTTTATGTTTTTAATAGTTGCATCGTAGATATATCTTTAGAATTGGACACTAGCAACAGCCTGGTCCCTAGTTTCATTTATTACTTAAAGTATATTCATGTACTAATAATCTTATCTAATCATAATCATAGCATTCATAAGCTATGATTATGATTAGAAAATTATTATGTAACCCATTTGAACAGTCTTGTTAAATATATTGTCACTAGAATTTAAAGATTGTGGGAAAGTTAATAGGACTTCAGTGGATGTAGTCATCCCATAATTTAAATATCGCACTTTAAGATGGCTTTATAGTGTTTTGATTTTTTTTGCTGAGCATTGCATCTGATTGCTTTAAATTACTGTTCAACCGAAGTATTGCCTTTGAATCCAAGACAAATTGGCACCTGATTTAATATGGAAATACAATGGATGTGTCATGGTAACAAGCCGTGTGGAACTGACATTAACATTTTCACTGTAAAGGAAGTAAAAAGTGCCAAGATATAACTAAATGGTCTCTCAGAGCTTCACGCTATGCTTTGACTGGTGCTGCAGTTTAGCACATGATTGAAATACTTCTTTGGATCTGCTTCTGCTGAAGACTGAACTATCTCACCCTACTTGACCTAAATATGCATCATTTTCATGCCGTCACACTTTATTAAACTTTTATGGATCTTCTGCTGTGAAACAGGAATGAATGCGGAGTTTGTTAAACATAAGTGCTTATGAAGCAGCTGCGGCTCAACTGTAGCAACTTTGCACACAGATTCCCAAGTGAGATAGTAAGCGCACGGATCCCCCTCCAGACTTACAAATGGATGTTTTCAAGTCATTTGGACGTCCCATAGTTGGGGCTGACTGGTACTCTGTGTATGTCAGTGTAATTTTAAGTAAGTTCCGCTCATGCTGCCAAATAAACCTCAGATCAATCAGATCAGAGCTTAGGCAAATATCATCTGAGGATGTCAAATAAAGTCTGGTGCTGTGATCTTAGTAAGTGATCTATCCTTGTCTGTGGTTTGTGGATTGGGCTTACTTCCCAGAGAGGCAATTAGATCTAGGTTCCAAAACTCCACAAATTGCAATTTAAGGAGTTTGGAAACTGGATGAAGCCTAAGCCTATTTTTTTCTGGAGACATTTCTAAGCTCCATCTACTGAATTTAATGTTGTTCTTTTTAGAAAAGCCTGTTGTCTAGAAGTATAATGTTGGTATTTTGATAGCGTGTTTTTTTTTTTTTTTTTTTTTTTTTTTATCTGGTCATTCTCTTGTGACAATGTGTGCTCCCATTCACACGCTACATCAAAATTGGATTTTCCCCCAGGAAATGCCAGAAGTAAATGTGACGTGGTCTGGTGATGGACCCCATCCACTAGATTCTATCCATATTTCAGTCGCTGTGGCTACTGACAGGGGCCTCATCACACCGATCATCAGGGATGCTGCTAACAAAGGAGTGCAGGAGATCTCAGCTACTGCTAAGGTATGAAAGAAGCTGAGGCAAATTAACAGGAAGAAATATTTTCCTACATGAGACTCTGCAGAGGTCTATCCAATAATATTGCAACCTTAAAGTCTGCAGAAAACTGATAACTTCAACCCAGTATCTGGGAGCATTACAGATAATTGGAGAAAAATCTAAATATTAAAGTTATTTATGTTTTATTGTGAAACATGGGTGTAGTCATATTCTAAAATGTCTAAGCATCAAAAATGACAATTTCCAAGAAGTTTTATTATTGTGTAATGTGTCTATCATGGGAGTAACTATGCCAGCTTGTTCTGCTTTCTTCATTAACAAGAAATTCAACCAAATAAGTTATGTTTTGTATTTCACCTTAAGTCCTTAAAACAGCAATAATGAAACAAAATCAATCTGGTTAAGTCATAGTCACACTCATACTGGTAGGATGAGTCAGAAAACACAAAAGTTTCACATATGCTTAGGAGTAAATAGTTGTTTTTTTCCACAATTAAACAACTTAACTAAAACTATGTACTATCAGACAACTGATCAAAAATACCATGTTTCTAGATCTAGATATGGATATATCAAATTGAATTTGAAAAGGGAAAAAAAAAGGAAGTTTTTTATTAATGCAAAAACTGAGGTAACTGTTGTGGGTTTGAGCACAACCCAAGTTTTCTTAGAATTTCAACTTTGTTTCTTTCTCATATAAAATAAGCAAAGTAAATGAAAAACTTTCGCTTTCTTCGTCGTGTGGAATATATTCAATGAGATTTAAAAGAAGAAAATATCTTGGCGTTTACCAGGTGTTACTGTTTGCTTAGATCTTATCTACAAAGGTGCAGTGGTTGTGAAATGCATCTCAATGGTTACTGTCTCAATCTGATAAAGATTGCACCAATAAAAACAAGAATTTGGTCGGTGATGTGTTGCATTATCATGTGTCACGTTCTCAGCGATGCTGTGTGTTGTTGCATCAGTTGGAGCAGGTGTACTGTGAAGTTTATTTTCCCACTACCAGATTGTCTGTAGTGATCTGAAAATTGTAATATCAGATAAAGACTAACCTGCACAATTACTAGCTATCCAAAACAATGTAGTTCTGTTTGAAAATCTGCTTCAAATCATAACTTAGCTGAGCTTAACTCCATTTTTTTAAATCTGAGTTCAAATTTACTAGCCGCATGATTACCATTCTACAAGAATCAATATTTCATTTAAACAGAGCATGTCTGAAAACACGAAGTAGGGTAGAAAAGCTCAAAAAGCAACACATTATGCCCCAACCCCAGAACATTTAACAGTTGAGAGTTACTGACATCTGTTAGTCTAGGGATCTGGGAGTAAAGCGAGAGTCATTATCCACAAATGGAGAAAACATGCAACAGCTGTGAACATTCCCAGGAGTGGTTGGCCTACCGAAATCACTTCAAAGAATGCCTAAATAACTCGCTCAGATATGAAGCACTGTGGGCCTCGGTTACACATTAAGCATAAGTTATTGAGTCAGCAATAAGAAAAGCAGGGTTTGTAAGGCAAACATTAGTACAGGATAAAAAAGGTGTGTTCCACCTTTACCAAAAACATATTGATGGTCCCCAAGACTTATGGACTTTTTTTTTTTTATTATTATTTTTGATTGAGATACAGGTTGGACTAATTGGAGTATGTGTATTCTGTTACATCTGATTTAAGAGTATCATAGCTTTTAAGGTAAAAACAGTAAAGCATCATAATGACAGTCAGACATGGTGGGGGTGTGATGGCATGGGGATGCCTTGCTGCTGTCAAGCATAGATCGTTTGCCATAACGGAACCATTATTTCTGGTCTCTACTAGAAAATCTTTAAGGAGAATCTCCGTCCATTGTTTAAAAACTTTAAACATCATCTACTAGACAAGTTCATCTTTAAACTTGCTAAAAAAAAAAAAAAGCCAAAATATGCTGTTCATGCTCAAACACTCGTCAGCGAGCCATGATTAAAATTGTTTTTCTAAAATAGGATACATTTCCATAGCGATGTAAAAGACCCATTGCCAGTTATTACAAACTAGGCTACTAGGTTTAAGGGACAGTTCATCTTCCTTTTTGGGTCATATTTGTTGAAAATGTTTTATTTTTCTGTTTAAAAAATATTATTTGAAAACAGCTTTTTGTGTGTATTAATGTGACAATTGTTGACAATTCCCTTTCTTCATTTTATCAATAAATAGTCAAATTGTTTCCATTAATATGAGCATTTGCTGTTTGACATTGTTAATGTCTTGAACATGAGTTTTGAAGAAAAAATAAATCCTGTTTACTTTTGACATGGATCCTGCATAACCTTTTCTTGACAGTTGTAGAATATATATCTATGTAAGTATCAAGCTGGTAATCAGTAGTGTAAGCGTGTCATTGAAAAGCACATTGTTCATGCGCTCTCATTGCTACACGGCTGGGTATTTTTATGTCTCCTGACTGAAAGCTGTAGTAAATCCTCTATGCACCAGTTTATTTCTTCGATAGCTTAATAACACAAGTTGTTTTCTGAGCTTTGGAGTGGTGCAGTCGGTCGTGAAGATTAAGCTCTAATGTACCGTGCCAAAGAGGGAGCTCTGGTGTATATCTCTCTGAGGATCCAGTTCTGTCTAAAGTCGTAGCTTTTTGCATATTTGTCACAGCATGTATCGTTTTTGGTTTCAAATGTAAACTATAGTTTGTTTTATTTCTCAAATGGAGCCTACATGGCGTGACATATGTTCACAGGTGCTGGCCCAGAAAGCTCGAGACGGTAAGCTACTGCCTGAGGAGTACCAGGGAGGCTCGTTCAGGTAAACTGAGTTATAGGGATAAAGGAGTAGCATATACTAAACTTGTATTTTCTCATGTTTTATAAAGTCTGTAGTGTAACTGAGTCTATTCAGTTTTGTCTCAAAGTTGTCCATTTTAGATGAGCAACATTACTGTCTCACAATTTCTTTTGCATTTCAGCGAGATCATAACTTCCCTTCATAGTGACCATAATTAGCTTTTATGCTTTTATTCTGTCTGTACAGTATGCATATTTTACATTTCATGTGGTTTTGGACTGAATGTGGTCTTGGGTGACAACTTGTGGTGTTTTCATTTGCAAAAGAGCTAGCATTTTTTTCTCTACTCATTTGAATTAATGGTGTCATTTACACATTAATGGGGTTTCTGTGTCAAACTAGAACAATGAATCCGTGCAGAGATGTTGCTCTCTTTGTCCTGCTAAAGATATATCAGTGTGTGTTCTTTTTATTCATTTTATTTCTTCCTCAGAGCAGAAGCTCTCATTAAGCTAAACAGCTTAGTGGCCTCTGGTCAGACTTATTAAACCGTGTCTTGACTGCTTAGTGTTCTTTTTGGAATATAACATGTAAAAAATGAGAGAACAGCCATCATTATGTGCTTCCTTTTGTGTTTTTATTAATGCTTTATTCTTAACGTCTAACATGAAACATGTCCTTTCCCTCATTTTCCCATCTGTTACATTCCCTCCGGGGACAGTATATCTAACCTAGGCATGTTCGGAATCACTGGTTTCAGCGCCGTGATCAACCCTCCTCAGGCCTGCATCCTCGCTGTTGGCACTTCCAGGACGGAGTTGCGACTGAATGAAGATGACCAGACGCTGCGCAAGCACCAGCTGATGACAGTTACTTTGTCCAGCGACGGTCGGCTCGTGGATGATGAATTAGCCTCTCGGTTTCTTGATAAATTCCGTGCCAACCTTGAACAACCACAGCGAATGGCCCTCGCCTGAATGGAAAAAGATCACAGTTGAAAATAAAAATTCTTAAGAGAAAGCCCGGCTCATGTTTTCACAACGAAAGAGCTCTTAAGTAGTGGATTAGCATTATTGCCTCATTTTAAGCTTGGTGGTGGTGTTGATGATGTAAGCTGAACGATTACCACCTGGTCAAAAGTGAACTTCTGATTCAGTTCAACATCAAAGCAAAAGTGTCCCAAATACTGTTAAATGGACAGGCTATCTACCAGACAAGCAGTGTAAATAAAATGCTCAGTCTAAGTCCATCTGCACCAACTCTGTCACCCATAATAAATCTGCAAATGGTCAACCCCTAAAATGAAGATTTTTCAATATTTATCAACAGAACTTCCATGGCGATGCAGTTTGCACTCCTTTTAAATCCATCTGAGCAAATTGTTACTAAATCTACAAACATATTAAGTTGTTAATGTTAATATTATTTCCTTTATTTAAAAATAATTGTCACTGACAAGTTCTTGAAGTCCAAATGCAATTACATTTATGTTTTGGTGTCTTATTGTGTCAATAAAACACTGTTCAACCTTTGTTTCATTTACGGGTTTTTTTTTGTTTTTTTTCTCACAATTTTGACAAAGAATTCGGGTAACTAGAGATGCATTTGTCCATTTCAAGTTTATTGGAATCTAAATGCATTATGTAATTAGCCAATTAAGATAATTTGCTGGCCTCAGTGGACAGGTCCGTGTTTGCTAGCAGATGTTTGTCTTCTCTAGCCACTGGCAGAGCAGATGTTGGGACATTTCTGTATCTGCTTCAATTTGTTCAAGATATGATCTATAAAAAAAACATGACAAATGGCTCAAATTTTTATCCTTTATATATACAGTAATTAATGTTTGCAAAGGATTTTGTTTAACTTAATATCTAGCGTGCCATAAGCAGTTCCTGTTATTAGAACAAGGGATCAGTTATAGCAGTTTGATTAAGCATATTTAATCTTTGTCTTAATGGCTGGACTCTTGTTTTATTTATTCTCATAGTCTATAGGGTTTATTTTTTAATTCAAATTATAAATTAGCTAAGGCAAGTTATGCAGGGAACAATGACGGATGAATTGCCTTATTTTAAGTGGTTAAAGCCATTAGATTGAGTAACAACTCTTAATACTAATAATTTTTCGAATGCTCTCCTATTTTTCTGCTGTCCTTGATGCACTTTACCACTTTGGGACTCGGAAGCAAGAACATTTTGTTCTATGGTTTCTGTGGCGTCGGTTTGAAATTCATCACCATTGCAGACATTGACAAGGGCCCTTTAGGGGGAAGTTTTGGGAGAGTAATATTAACAATTGCCAGATACCAGTTATTTTCTACAGAAAGTTACATGATGTTGCTGAGAAAAAAGTTGATCCGTGCAATTTGGAATTAGGAGTGAACAATACTTTAAGGTCTCAAAGATCTTTGCAAAACTACTCTTACCCTCTTCAGCTTTTAGCGGTTTGTCACGGTACACCACTGTGTGTTTACTACGAACTGTGAATTGCATTACAGGCCATCTTCACTCTGATACTCCTAAATGAAATCCAGTGCAACAAATTGATTTGAGAAGTTGCTCCATGTGTGTAATTTTACCTCTTTAACTAGAGCTATTCTCCGAAACCCTCAGAAGTTGGCTACAGAACAATTCAAACACCTCCCCGATTTGAATCGAGTATCTGGAAAGGTAGCTAAAGAATAATAATTAGCTAAATATATATTGGAGAGAGTGCTTAATGTAAATTTTGAGGATTGAGGCAGATGGGCACAGGCAAGGATTTTGAAGTAATAATGATAAACTCGGTCATAAATCACATCTGATCATCTCCGCTGAACCCCAGTGAGGCTGATCTCTTCCTTCATCTTCAGGCATCTTCTTCTCGTTGAATATAAATGTGTTATTTCTCTGTGAGCTGCCTCGTAATCCTGCTGCTACGTTTGACTGTTCATCCTGATGCACCATCTGCCAGAAAGAAATAGGGTGGTTACACAGATCAACTTGCAAGCAGTTCACAGATAATTTGCACTGCTGCTTAAAATGGTTGAAGCAATGCGCAGGAGCTGCAATCAGGGCAAATAAAATGGCAGGAAGTTAAAACAAAAACAGGCATGCACGGTGTGTGCGTGTGTTTGAGATCCATATTTTTTATAAAATCAGGTTGCGGATCTACTTTATTTCAGCAATAAACCTCAGCAGTATGAGAAGGAATGGAAGTTTAGTGAACATATGGTAAAATATTTGAAGACAGGACAATTTGTCTAGTTGTTCGCTACTTGTTGAGCAGTGTTCTTCGTAATATCATCATGTGGTGTCCTTAAAAACAAATAATTGCAGAACAATGTTATTTTTAGTTCATATGTTCACTTTGTTTGGGTAAGGTAAATCCTCAGGATGGTGAAATCATGTCATCAGGGCTTATTTTTGCTGTGTTTTAATTTCCTATCGCTTGCCAGAGCGGCTAGGAAGTAGAACAACTGAATAATACCCCTCTAAATATAAGCACTGCAGACGCAGCTATATACTGTAGGTTCTGACATTTCCTTTGGCTTCTATGTCACAGTATGACATTTACTTCAGGATGGCTGCCTGCCAATCTTTGGCCAGCAGTACGGTTATATGTAACAGCTGGATAAGAGAGCTGCCCAGTAGGAATAATCCCCTTTGTTCACACCAAGGTGCTTTTATGGAGAATGCGCAAGGTCTGGAAGATAATGGCAAAGCTCGGGCTGGACTGTAGGTCGGGCTCATGAATGCACAGTGTGGTGTAGAAAGATTGGGACTGTTGCTATGGAGACAGAATGGGATGAATTTGTACCTTGAGCACTCAGGTGTGCATGTCCTTCAGTTTCCTGTTTAAGTTGTTGGTCAAACAGCTGATGGGGTTTAAATTCCTTAACAGTGGGTGTTTGAATGGAACGATTTGCTGGGGCAGGGAGTTTATGACAAAGAAAAACATGTTGTAAAAGGTCACAGTTACTTTTTCTGACTCTTTGCAAGAAACAAATCTGTAATAAGTTATCTAAGGTCTTTTGAAAGGACAACGTAATCACAATTAATTAATTTTCCCGTCATTGGGATAATTGTAGAGAACGTCTTGTGTTCATCTACACTTCTCACACTCATGTTTGCTCAACCATTGTTGACAGGATTTCCTCTGCTCTATCACCCGTTTTCCCCTATACTTTTTTTTTTGTACCAGTGTTTTTTTCCGTTCTGTACATATTTAGATTATAAATATGAAACCTCCACATCCTTCCTCTTTTGCCTTTGCTAACTCTGGACTTTATGTCATTTCTTTGAAATGGATGCTTATCATTCTTACAGGCATCCTGTAGAAGTACCCATAAAAGAAATGCAGCCCAGAAACCAAGCAACCACTGCAAACATTACACCTCTGAGTCAACTGAAGCTTATCGTCATGCAAACCAAGTATGGACGACATAAAACACTCCTTTCTGTCCTACACTCCAGTGTGTTGCAGCACTCTGCTTATCATGCTCATTTCTGCCATCCCAGCAGCCAAACTGAAGCGAGGCCCTTGCCTTGTTGTTGTTGCAAAGCCCTGCCTTTTGAAGGAGTCCAGTCATGTTCCCATGACGCAAAGCTGGCTCATTCAGCTCGAGACACTGAGGCAAACTTTGGTCAAATGTGCACAACGTGAACACAGCTGAAACAAGCCTCCCTCTGCCCATAAGAGACAAGTCCAGGCAGAAGCATTGATTGAAATAAAAGTAGTCTTTTAACTTTTATTGATGTAATAGGAAGAAGCTTGAGAGTATAAAAGAGTGAGAGCAAGAACAACATGGCTCACAATAGTTGTGATGATTTCCATGTCAAAAGCAAAGTTATTTATTTATTTATTTTTTTTTTTTGCTTAAAAAGAAACATAAAAACAAAGTAAAACAAGGGAATTGAGGACACAGCTGAAAGCTGCCGAAAAGTGATGGACACCAAACTCCGGCATCGATGCATATGACACAAATGGCTGGCCAAGACGAATGTGGTGATGGAAAAGTCTTCACTTCATATTGTTTGTTTTGTAAACATGGGGTTATTTATAGTTGATAGTCATTACATCCTTTTCTATGTTGATAATGTTAAGCGACACATCAATCTATATCCTCTTTTCTTGTCAAGGAAACAATTTTTTTTTTTTTTTAGCAAAAAAAAAAGAAAAAAAAAAAAAAAGACACCAACAAAGCACAGTTGATTCTTTCTCTGCAGTTCCAGAAAGGACTTTATCATCCATATTTGATAGTGACTTTCTGCTTTTGACTTTCTGGTTTGCTGGGATGTAAGAAAGGGGTCTGTTTGTTACTGCCTGATGAGTTGGTGGGTATTTCACAAACTAATCTACTGAGATGTCCAAGCACAACCATCTGTATGGAGCTTATAGCGAATAGATTACACACAAAAAAATAATCTAGTGAGTTTCAGTTCTGTGAATGAAAATCCATCGTCAGCGTCAGAGTTCATAGGAAAATGAACAGATTGATTTAAGATGAAAAGAAACAGCAGTATCTCGTATAATCATTTGGTAAAACTAAAGTATGCAGAATACGGAACTTGGAATTTTGTTTTTCTTTATACTCTGTTCCACCATGTAATGAAGAGAGCTTCATTACTGGGTCTTTTTATTTAAGTCACTGTATAGCACTTTAAAAGCACGTTTTGCACTTTATTAACAAGCACTTTATTTAGCACTGCACTTTAAGCAGAGATTTGCACATAAATAACAATTTGCACACAAGTTTTAATTGTATTTATTGAATATTTTAATAATTAGCATGTAGCCTTTTGTTCTGGGCTCTGCACAGCTGCTCCTCATTGGAAAGTGAGCTGGTTGCCTGTGGAGGGAGGATAATTGTTACTCAGAGCAATGATCTACTGGTGGGTAAAACTGAGCAAATGTTTGTGCATAATCTGTTAGGTGTGGAGTGCTGATATTGAGTGACTCACCTGTCTTTTATGTGTCCTCTCCAGGGTGTTTGGACAAATACTAC